GAATTCCACTTCTAGGAATTTACCCTAAGGATGCAGCCCTCCAGGTTGAAAAAGACAGATGCACCCCTATGTTTATCACAGCACTATTTACAATAGCCAAGAAATGGAAGCAACCTACGTGTCCGTCAGTAGATGAATGGATAAAGAAGATGTGGTACATATACACAATGGAATATTATTCAGCCATAAGAAGAAAACAAATCCTACAATTTGCAACAACATGGATGGAGCTAGAGGGTATTATGCTCAGTGAAATAAGCCAAGTGGAGAAAGACAAGTAGCAAATGATTTCACTCATCTGTGGAGTATAAGAACAAAAGAAAAACTGAAGAAACAAAACATCAGCAGATCACAGAACCCAAGAATGGACTAACAGTTACCAAAGGGAAAGAGATTGGGGTGAATGGGAGGGTAAGGACAGATAAGGGCAGGGAAGAAGAAAGGGGGTATTATGATTAGCATGTATAATGTTGGGGGTGAGGGTAAGGGGAGGGCTGTGCAACACAAAGACAAGTAGTGATTCTACATCTTACCATGCTGATAAACAGTGACTGTAATGGGGTTTGTGAGGAGGACTTGGGGTAGGGGAGAGCCTAGTAAACTAGTGTTCTTCATGTAATTGTAGAATAATGATAACAAAATGAAAATAAAATAGGTCAAGACCAAAACAGTTTCTGTGACGTGACTGCCCTCATATTGTCTTAGTATTTCTGAGAACGTCATGCCCCAGAAGACTGGAGGCTACCTGGGAACTGAACACAAATTTGGAAAGGGATTGTGTGGTAAGCTCTCACCCGAACTCCTGCACAGATTTTAAATTTTACTTGCTCAATAAATATGAGGACTGCCTTCTTGGCATTAATCTTGTGCTGCAACGCCTTGAGTCCCCTGGCTGGTCCTTTCAGGTCTTCAGCATTTTGTCGCGTTTCCCCACAAATCTGTGGGTCAGAGGCAGGGAGGAGCCAACAAAGGATGCATTAAAAACTCAGGTAAAAGTGTTGGTGAGTACTGGGTTGATGGGGGAAATGAAGACACCAAAACTTTTCATTATGCCTTTTTAATACTTTCCCATTTTGAATCATGTCAATATAGTACTCATGCCAAAAAATATTTAAACAAGAAAAAAATATTGCATCTGTTTCTTTCATTCCTTCTACACTAAGTTTGGTGAAAACTAGTCTTCCTTATTTTTTAATCTTGTTTTCTTTTACACTGAATTGATATAATGGTCAATTTTATGTGTCAACTTGATTAGGCCATGGGGTTCCCAGATATTTGGTCAAACATTCTCTGGGTGTTTTTGGGAGGATGTTTCTGGATGAGTTTGACATGTAAACCAATAGACTAAGTAAAGCAGATTGTGTTCTCTAAAGTGCGTGGGTGTTATCCCAACAGTTGAAGGCCTGAATAGAGAAAATCATAATCCTCCCCTGAAGAAAGGAGGGAATTCCTCCTACCTGACTGACTTTGAGCTGGGACATCAGTCAGCTACCTTCAGACTTAGACTGAAACATTGGCTCTTCCTGATTCTCAAGCCTGCTGGTCTGTGGGCTGGAATTACACCATCAGCTCTCATAGGTTTCCAGCTTGTCAACTGCAAATCTTAGGACTTGTCAGCTCCCATAGTCATGTGAGCTAATTCCTTATATATCTCAATCCTATTGGCTCTCTGGAGAAGCCTGCCTAATACAACTGGTAAAGACTGGATGGCCCAGGGTAAGGTGGTAGGAGTATGGCTGGCTTTACAGCTCTGGATTCAAAGACAGAAGCAATTCAGATAGTCTCATTTTTTCCTACTTGAATCAATTTCCTGTGGAAAAGAAAGCTACCTGCATGTGTCTTCCTGTACCCAGAAAGCCTGGGAGGGTAAGGACTTAGTTTTTATCCCCCAGTGCTACATTCCTAATGTCAAGATGCATGCTGCAGAAAAAATTAGGAGATGAATTATTACCTATTGTTACATTATGTGTTAAATGTGAAATTAGCATCTACAGGTACACATCTATATATATATATATATGTTATATATTTAGGGAACATATTCTTACATTAATCTAAAATATAAATTAATATCAGTTTCCAAATAACTGGGAGGAAGTCTGTGACGATCACTCAGAGTCAGTAGCAGGACAGGAAGAACAAGGTATTTAGAAGAGTGGCCCTCAGACGCACTTGACACCCCACTCTACATAACTCAATTTCTGCCATAACATTTCCTCTACACATTTTATATTATGTACTTTTAAAAATAAACCAATCTATTCTATTGCTGCACAACACATTATCACAATTTAGCAGATAAAAACAATGCACATATATCTACTCACAATTCTGTAAGAAGTTTGGGCACTGGACTGGCTGGGTTCTCTGCTCAGGACCTCACAAGGCAAAAGTCATCCACAGGGCTGCATTTCAGATTCTCATCATTCTGATAGAAAGCCTGGTTATGGTTTCCTAGCTGACTCTCAACTGGGTACTCTGAGCCTCTAAAGGCCACCTATATTCTGTTGGCTACCTCCATCTTCAAAACCAGCAACCAAGACTTCCTCAGTTCAAATCCCTAATTCTTTTCACACAATCTCTGACTCCAGGAAGAACATGGTCCCTTTTAAGGGCTCACCTGATAAGGTCAGACTCACCCCTGATAATTTCTCTTTCTAAGAAGTCAACTCTATTGTACAACATACAATAGTCATATTCACAGTCCAAAGGATTGTGAGGACTAGTACACGAGGGGCTCGGTGTGTGGTGGGGGGAGGGGTCAGGTATCTTGGGAGCCATGACAGATTTCTGCCTACCTCTAGAAACAATAATGAGGTTAGAGTTGAGTAGAAATTGCCAGCATCATGATGATTGGAGGAATTTAATAAAATCATGTGTCAGATACAACAGATTCAGATCTTCCCTGTGGCAGAGAAGGGTGTGGAATGGTGATTTCAGATCTGCAGTTGACTCTTTTGTGAGGAAAAGTGACATAAGTTAACTTCTCTAGGGATGGAACCCAGACATTGGTATCATCAGCATCACACTCCAAACAGCTTTGCTAACTGGCCACTGACACTGCTGCATTTTCTCTTTGAAAGTTTCAATTCTGGTAAAAATTTTTATTATCTGCCTGTTGGCTCCGACTTGAAATCCAAAGCACTTGTGGCTAACAAGAAAATAACCCACTGCACTGCCACCAGAATTGGGGAGCTTTAAAATGTGGAATCTTGGTGTTAGATCTCAAAACAGAGAAACAACTTAACTCTCAGGACAATTTTTATCTGATTTCTGAGTTTCTGCTGAGGACTGCTATAAACAAACAGTGTGAGTTTCTTCTAATGGAAAAGGAGGGATAACTTGTATAGTGGCTGTCTTGCCTGAGGGGTTCAGCCCAGGCAAGTTCACTCCGAATTGGGTGAGACTGAAAAATGACAATGAAAATTTGCCTGTGAAAATGGGTTCACAGCAAGCTTTATTCTCACGGGGGCAGGTCAAGGGCTAGAATGACGTCCACCTCCGTCTCTGTCCTAGGCATTTGCCTCCCTCACCTCCAGCCTCTCTGCTCCCCTCCTGCTCTCTTGCTCTCTTCTTTGGGCTCTGCTCTTAGCACCCAGGGAGCTCTTTTTGTAGTAATACCAGCAATAATGGCTTACTGCCAGCTGGTGTGTAAGCACGCGCCTTTGCAGTAGGCTAAGTATTACCTCATCTCACATACTCAATGGATATTAGGTGAGGAATCTGGCCATGGAACTTCCATTTTCCCTACAGTGGCAGAAAGCACTTCTTAATTTGCTAGGCACTTATATATATATATATTTTAACACTTACAACTGCCTTCCATGAAAACAGGATTTTATCTTCGTTTAACAAATGAAGAAATCAAAGCTCAGAGCATTGATGCAAAAGCCCGAATTAGTACACATGATTGTTGAGTTCTGAAATCCATGCTCTTTCAAGTAATCTTAAAGATGCCAGCCTTCCTGGTCTTCTGAATTTTAAAGAGGACTATTTAATGAGCTAAGGAGAATATGAATATTCAGTAATGATGCTGGGGTCACTGATAGTCCCCTGAAAGTAGAGTTGGATCTATACCTCATGTTAAAACAAAAAAAAAAAAAATCGGATTAATCAAATATCTAAAGAAAGAAAAGAAATCAGAGAGTTCCTTTGTCACTCTTGTTGACCTTGTATTGGAGAGAGGCACATCTAAGTCAGACATAAAACCAGAAGAAAAGACTGAAAACTTCAGCTGCATAGTCTAAAGTCTACGTGTCCAAAGTCAGCACAAAGTCCAAAGGTAAAATAGCTGGACTTCTTGTGATATATCAAAACAAAGCTTAGCTGATTCATATTTAAATAATTACAAATCATAAGACCTAAAAACTGAGTAGAAAAATGAGTAAAGGACATTAGTAAGCAGCTGACAGAAAAGGATACTCTTAAACATAAAAAGATGCTTAACAACAGATTATTATTATTATTCTGTATTAGCAGAGAAATGCAAAATAAAACTGTACTAAGGGACCACTTTTACATTTCAAATTGGAAAAAATCAAAACAGAAACCTCATATTCTGCTGGTGAAGATTCAACTATGCTTCCCAGAATGAGCTGGAGGGACAGCACCAGCAGAGTTGGGCTTTTCTGAATACAACCCTGCCGGTGGTTCCCACATCCTGCGGGCTATAGAAAACCAGTTTCTTTTCTGTTACCTGAAGAGTAAATGGCCTCCAGAGTTCCATTCCTCTTGGAACTGAAATGACTGGAGTATTAAAATCATATTTGGCACACAATGGACTTAGATGATATGGCCTTATGCAGGCAATCTGATAGGACACTGGTAGAATATGATTCACAATTACTCCTGCCTACCAACACAATTTTTGTAAGATTGAAGGCAAAAGGCAGCATTTTTGCAAAGGGATAGGAAAACACAATACACGTGTATTAGTGCTCCATAACCCCCAAAAGCCGGCATTCTTTCTAGAAGAAAACTTGTGAAGATATAAACCAGTCTGCTGAGAGTGGGGTTTGAACCCACGCAGGACCTAGCCCATTAGATCTCAAGTCCAATGCCTTAACCACTCAGCCATCTTGGTGAATACTAGTATTCCTTATGCAACGTTTTTTATTACAACCAACATTTGCGCTGAGCGTTAAAGAAGTGTTGAATTATTTCTGTTTTGTGGAACTGCATTTAAATAGAAGGATTATGATAAAACAAAGGGCCCGCGTTCTCCAAGATCCCCTCCCTAGATCACCTCCTATGTTCCAAAGAGATCTTTGTTTTTATTTGATACGAAAAGAAAAACTAGTCGGGGCGGAGAGAGTAAGAGACACCGCCACAGTAACGCCTCCTACTACCTCTATTTCACCAAAGGCTCTGTCCTAGTTTTTCCCTAAGAAATCATAGCCTAGCGGGCTGAATTCAAGCCTTCACTCCAGACCCATTGAAGCACTGGATTCACCAGGGTTGGGGTCTAGAGGACATAGTATCAATACGAGTTCACCTTGGGGATAAATTTGAATATCCTTAGTGTACACAGAGGGAAATTCATGATTTTGGTTTTAATGACAAAATGCTTTAATTGATAGCCCAAAATGTCCATTATTAAAGGAACACAATGAGCTCAGTGTGGGCCACACAGACAGTAGACACCACCCTAAAACTCCAAGTGCTCCCTGAAAAGCCCTCAATTTGCAATGACAAATGCAATCCTTGAGGCCAAAATTGTTCCTTGGGAGACTTATTACAAATGCAGATTCCAAAACCCCTCTAGCAATGATCTTAACTAAAGAGGTGATAGTGTGGATTCCAACAATCTTGATTTTACCAAACACTCCCAGTTAACTCTAACGTCAATTGTCTGCTGACTATACTCAATTAAAGGTGCTAAAAGTTGTCATGGGGAACTTAAGAATCCATGAAAGAAGCTTCAAGATGGAAAATTTGGGGGCTCTGAGGAGACAGAGCTGAGATGAAATCCTGAGCACAAGTTGAAATATAACTAATTTATATAACAATACTGAACACTTAGTTTGTGACATGTCCCTCAGGTGACCAAAGGAAAGCACCACAATATGAGAGGGCTGTTGGCTGTACCAGACACACAAAGAAAGTTTGAGGACAACTCTCCCCAGAATCTCAGTTGAAGAAACAGCCCAACTTTATTTGGGATATTTGGATTGGAAGGGTCCACATCTAGATCTTCCTCTTTGCTTGATACATTCATGTACAAGGAATGTCCTCCTCAAATCCCATGGGTTCTGTCTCTGGCCAGATGAAGATTCCATTCGTGGAAGAAGAGTTAGGGCCTCAGATTCCTGTTCCTACAAAACACAGAAGGAAATTCAGATCTCTTAGTGCAGGGGCAAGAACTGGGTGGAGGATGGAGATGACATCACAAAAAACATGTCAGAGATAAAATCCATCATATATAGATAGGTACAAAAGTTTTCAGAATATTTTATTACTATTGTTCTTAACATAGGCTACACAGAATCAACTGTGAAGTTTAATATTGAAATGTGAAAGTAAAAAATAAAGCTATTAGAAGTATATGGTGAATATCCTTATGGGCCAGGGAGCAGAGAACTTTTAAAAACTTAATATATATTAAAAGAAAAGCACAATAAAGAAAAAAGTATAGTATTTGTTTACATTAAAATTAAGAATGTGTAGAATAAAGGATGTATTATAAATATAAATAGATAAATGTGATAATGGGAGAATATATTTGAATTGTCTAAAAATGGCATGGGCTTAATATACATATTATAGCAAAAAACCATGAAAATCAACAAGATGTAAAATAAATGGGCAAAGGCTAAGACTGGCAATTTAGGAGAGAAATGCATGAAGACTAACAAAGATTGTACAAAAATTTCCAAAAATCATTAATAACCACAGAAATAAGCAGTAAAAAGAGATTTACTTTATTGATATTAGGTTTTAGATTGAGAAAATTAAAAAGCTAAGTAAAATAAATTATTGCAGGACTTGAGATATAAGAACCCTCATGTCCCACTGGGGGAGTTTAAATTGATTAAGTCATTCCAGATAGCCTATTTAAATTAAGGATATTCTCATTCTATGATGGAGTTATTCTGCTCCTAGGTATAAATCTTTCCCCACCCTATCCACCTGCTCAAATCTTAGACAAATACAAAGAACACATAAAAGGAAGTTAATCACAATATTACCTGTAGTCTTTTGAAATTGGGAGAAATCATGATTTTCATATTTGGACACTGGATAGTGTAAAATAAATTCTAGCCGAAATAAGCAGGCGAAGAGAGGCAACAAAGGGCCAGGTAGTTTATTTGAACACAATTTCTGGGCGAGGTTTCCCAGTCTACAGAAATGGAGGCTGGGGAAGTCACGCCCAGCAGGGCAGGCAGCAAGTTTTTAAAGAAGGCAAGGGAGGGAGAGCAAAAGTATACAGTGGCGCCAGGATTGGCTCACCTAGGGTATGTGGGGGTCTCTCATTGGCCTTTAGCCAGGTATTGGAAAGTTACCACTACTCTTCTAGCTTGGGGGAGGGCTCTAGTTAGGAATGTTATCTGATCAGTCTCTGGAATGTTATCAGACTGGAACCTGTTGGTCTCTTCACCTTGTTTGGTGAGGCCTGAGCTTGTCCAGCAGGCTCAGCCCTTCCCCTGGTGCCTGCAGCCTTACATTCCAGCCTTTTGGTCATAATGGGTGCCGAATCGATCTGGCTACTTCCGGCTGACAAGTGGCGTCATGGGGGGCTTAAGGCTGGTTGACGGCTGGACGAGGCCCAGTTGGGAGGTGCGAGTACTTGTGCAGCAACAGCTGATTGACCTTTATGTGTGATATTTCTGCCATGTGCTGTTTAAGGAACTTGAAGACACATGGGGCAATTAAGAGTAAACCACAAATTATAATGAAGGGGCCCAGTAGAGGCATTAGCCAGGCCATCAAGGGGGACTGAAGCCACCCATAAGGGCTGCCTTCAGGTACTCGTGTTTTGTGGAGGTCTTTTTGTGGTTCTTGTAGTTCTTTTACACTTTATTCTACGACCCCAGACTCATTGATATAGTAGCAGCATTCTTCCTGCAAGAAAATACAGGTTCTGCCCTTTTCTGCAGTATCCAGATCTAGAGCCTGCCTATTTTGAAGGGTGACTTGGGCAAGGGAAGTAAGCTGCTGCTGGAGGGAAATAAGAGAGGTGGAGGTTTCTCCCAGGGTTAGGCTCACTCTATCATCTAATGCTGCTAGTTGACTTGTGAGACTTTGAGAGCTGACTAGGCTATGGCCTAATGCCCCTGCCCCTGTGGTGGCTGCAGCTATTGCAGTGACTAGACTTACACCTACTAGTACAGGTAGGAAGACAGCCCTCTTTTGCCTAGCTCCCGGATGCATAGACCATCGGTCTAGTGCCTGCTTTACTTCAGGTTTGTTGTATAACATCAACTGGGGAACTAGCATCACTGAAAAGCAGAGCCTTACTGTGGTGCTACTGATACACTGGGTAAGGGTATTGTTGCACCAGAAAAACCTGCTCCCTTGAAGGGAGATTGGAGTGTTTACAGTTACTTGTCATTGGCATTGGTTTCTCATCGACAATTCTGAGATGGTGGAATGCTGGGTCAGGTAGCAGGTTAGTGGGGACAATGGTTCTTGGTGCCATTTACTGGTGGCCCCAGACTTATGTCAAGCTTCGGGCTTAAGGCTCATTTTCCACATTGGTACCTCACTTAAAGGGAGGCTGCAGTCGTTTTTAGAGGAGTTTACTGGTTGAGCCTGGAAAAAACTAATGGAAACTGCCGCCACCGGGTGGGGGGGCATTGGAGGGAGGCGCAGAGGAAACAATTGGACACATTGCTGAGAATATGTGAAGCATTAAGAAACCATACTGTTTCTCTAATGACTCCAGCCCAGGGAAGTGGTGCTCCTGCTGGTTGTAGGGAGCGGGTGTAGGGGTCTGACTGAATCTTCTGTTTTAGTGCCTGTTCTGTTTGTAGAATATTACCCGATACCTGTGCCTGGGTGTTTAGAACTTCTGTGAGAGTGGGATTTACACTGGTCTATTCCCTTTTGATGTATACTGTGAGAGCCATTGGTAACTCTGTGGGAACCATTGGTAACTATTGTATAGTTTGCTCTGTACTTTTTTTTCCTAGTGTGGGTCCTATGGGTTACTAATGGTAATGTATAACTTATCTTGTATTCTGAAGAACATGTTGTCAGTGACTCCTCTTGCTGTGGGCTCTACTGCATGAACTCTACATGTGTTTAACTCAGGATGACATTTTCTATACATGTCGGACTGGAAGACACATGTACGAGAGATTTGGTCATACGGAAAGCACAGCATAAGGTTTGAAAAAGTGTTTAAGATATCTGTGTGTACCGCTATCTGAATTGGTGCCTGACAACTTACACGTGGGCAACTTTGGGTGCCTATTTCTCAGTTGATTCTATGAAGAGTTAGTTGGAGCTTAAAGTTCCATGCAGAATAACTCTACCTGGAGACTACCGGGCTATTCATCTGGCTGGTTGTACTTGACATGACTAACCCGCAGCTTAAAGAGGACTTACCTCACAGGACACCCAATCATCATGTCTGGGTGCCCATTTGAGCTTAGAAAGGTGATATCAGGAGGAATGCCTATGTAGTTTGACTGCTGAGGGCATAGTGAGGATTAATGTATAAAGCCCTGTCCAGCGGAGTTGGAGAGATTTTGGCTGGAGTTCTCTTAGGAGTACCTCGTCTCCTGGCTGAAGGATCGCTATGTCTCCTGGGTTGTTGGATGATGTAGGTTGGGGTAGGAGCTGGTCTGCATGTTCCTTAAGAAGATGTCTCAACAGTGTAAAGTAAGGAAGGTAGGAGGCCAAAGGAGGAGAGGTAGCAGGCAGGCCTGTGTTTAGTAAGAAGGGCCTGCCATACATCAGCTCAAATGCGATTAGTCCAGCTTGTCCCCAGGGGCAGCATGCAGCCGAGTGAGAGTGATGGGGAGAAGATTGGGTCCTGAGAGCTTTACCTCTAAAGACAGCTTAGTTAGTTGCTCTTTTAAGAGACCGTTAGCCCTTTCGATCTTACCTGATGAATGGGGGTATATGGAGGTTCCAGGT